GTATATGTGTGTGTGTGTGTGTGTGTAAACACAGTAAGAACACACACACACACACACACACACACACATAGACTTGGAAGATTAATTTTATTATAGACTCAGTTCTGATTAATAAATATATGTATGAATATCCAGCTGGTCAGAACTCATCGACTTATAAGAGAAAACACGTGAAATGCAAAATATTTAGTTTAAGTCACTGTTTTAGTCATTTAAATTAGTTATCTATTTAAATTTCCATAACTATAAAATTCCCAATTTCCTCAGCTGTATTTTGAACCAAAGTTTGTAAAAATCGAGCAAGAAATAAGGAAGTTATAAGAGTTTTTCATCAGGAAGACACCTCATAGTCCATTGACCTCCATTCATTTTGTTGAGGCTCCTCAATGCACAACAGAGCTCCAGTGTGTGCACGCCCAATCCAGTAATACAGTATATATCAATGCCTGGAACCATATTCGTATCAGCAGCTTCTGTTTTCAGTTTGTTACTTTGTGACGTTCATTTCTTTATGTTCAATTTTCAGAAAGTTGTTGAAAACTGTTCCTCAAGACCTCCAGGAGAGACTCGTCACTCTGACCAGCGTGATAGAGGAGCAGCTAAACAGTCAGCCTGCCCCCTGTGGTACATGTACTTTTATTTTACTGAGTTGATGAAATAAATTATCTGTTAAAGGGTAACAAGACATTTATTTTTGCTTCACATATAAACTGTTTGCTGGAGGTTTTTTTTTCATGCTTTTGTATTCCAGTTCTAAATAAAAACAGACCAATAAGTTTAAATGTGTTTAATTTTCACAGGAGGATTTTCTGATACCTACGCTGCTCTTTGTGATTTTAATGAAATACCATTCAGAGAAGAAATTCAGTGGGTAAGTGACTATACTGCAGGGCTATTTGGCCTTAAATATTTTCAATAAAAATGTGGGATTTAAATAAAGCAAGGTTGTTTGTGTTTGTGTAGGATGTTGACAACATCTACTACAAACACAACTGGAGTACTTTCAACCTGCTGGACTTTAGCCACTTAGACAGTCGGTGAGACATTTGCACACAACTTGTAAATTCATTTTTACACACTATTTTCTTGACAGTTCCTTGTTTGTCCTCCTTGCAGAGACTTGGCACTGGCAGTGGCAGCTTTGTCCTTCAACCAGTGGTTCACTACGATCTACTGCAAAGACCTGAAACTGGTGCTGTCCTTCTCTCTTTGTCTCTTTGACAGAAGCTCTAAAGTTATAGAGTTAAATTAGGGTCATGAGTTTTGTTCAAAATAGAGTTTTTGAAACTAAAAAAAAAGAAACTCAAAAAAATAAAATTGAAACTGAAAAAACAAGACGTTCGAAACTTTTCCAGTTTCTAATATATCTTTTTCCAGTTTATAAAACTTTTTATTTTGAAC